TGGCCCCCCGGCCCCGCCCCGTCCCCCGCCTCTCCCCGCTCTGCTCACCTGAGCGGAAACACCGCGGGGAGCGGCCGCGGATGGAGCGTTCGAGGCTTTAAATTATAGAGGAGATTTGTTATTTTTTTTTGTTTAAAAGCCTTCAGCACACGCATGAACCTCCCCAGCCCATGAATAATTCACGCCCGGCTCTATCCAGCTTTGCCCCGGCCCCGCGCCGCTCGCCTCGGAGCTGAAGTAGGTCACGTCTGCTCCGAGGGTCCCCGAGCATCGCGCCCACCCACCCCCCGGCAGCACGAGCGTGTGTGTGCACGCACGTGTGCACTTGTGCTGCTGCCTCCGCGTGTGTCCCTCTTGGGTCCTGCACAAAGGGACACACAGGGAATGTCCCCCTGGGCTGTGGGTGGGTGAGGAGGGTGGGTGGGCCAGGGTGAAGAGCAGCTCTGGGTGGGGCACAGCCTGGTGGCACCGCCAGGGGAAGGGGTGCAGGTTCTGGCACCCAGCTCCTTTGGTGCTCTCTGGACCTGTCAGGCAGTGGCCAAGGGAGAAGGAAGCCAGAGAAGAGAGGAGGTGGCTTTGGGGCTAAAACAAGAAGGAATGAAGGCAAAAACTTGCTTTTGGCACACTTATTTTCATAGAAGCATGAAATCATACAAGGGTTTGGGTTGGAAGGGACCTTCAAGACCATCCAGATCCAACCCCCCTGCATGGGCAGGGACACCTCCCACCAGCCCAGATTGCTCAAAGCCCCATCCAACCTGCCCTTCAACACCCCCAGGGATGGGGCAGCCACAGCTTCCCTGGGCAGCCTGGGCCAGAGTCTCACTGCTGTCACAGGAAATCTAAATCCCTCACAGGAAGTCTAATCTACCTTTTTTCAGCTTAAAACCATCTCCTCTTGTCCTATCACTCCCTGCCCTTGTAAAATGTCCCTCTCCAGCTCTTCTGTAAGACCCCCTTTAACAACTGGAGGGTAGTTAAACTCCCCCTCTTCTTGTCCTTGCTTTGAAGATGGGACAACAAATAATGACAACACCTGGGAGCCTCTGGACCATTTTTCTCCCCAAAGTGCTGTGCTCCACCACGGCGTGGACCAGGCTGCTGCTGAGGTGGCTCAGACCCTCTTTGGAACTGCTGCATGGAATCATTAAGGTTGGAAAAGACCTCTAAGATCATCAAGTCCAACCATCAACCCAACACCACCAAGTTAAATAAACCATGCCCTGAAGTGCTGGTCTACACATTTTTTTCTAATTCCTCCAGGGATGGTGACTTCACCACTTCTATCGGATGCCTGTTCCAATGCTTCATCGCTCTTTCAATATAGAAATTCTTCCTGATACTCAATCTAAACTTCTTGAGGTGATTTCCTCTCATAACAGGTCAGGGCAACCTCAGGAAGGCCAGCAGGAAGCCTGGATGCACAACTTGATCTCTGCTGGAAACCAGAATGAAGGAAAGGAGACAGGTCACTTAACACCTGCATTCATCCAGGACCTGCTGCTCACAAGACAGGTCAGGAGTGTCTCGCAGTGCTGATGCTCTCCTCATTGTCCTGCCTACCTTGGCTGATGATTAATGGTACCCAGATGCAGCTCAGTCATGCAGGTTGAATGGTCTGGTGCCTTCAGCCCATTTCTGGGGCAAACGTTAATGAAGAGAAATTCAAACGGCTTCTGCAATGATCAGAACAGCTCCTGCAAACCCCAGCAACATCCATCTGCTGGTCTGCACTGGCAGCGCAGGAAGAAGAGCCTCTGCCACCAGCTCCTTCCCCCAAGCCATCCCTCCTACTCTGGCTGAAGTCTTTCGTGGTTGAAAACCATTTTGGCCTCAGGCTGGAGAACAACTATTATGAGCTGCCAAACCTGAGCTCTGCCTTCAATGCTAGTTCTCCATTATTGGTTTCAGTCCTGGTTGTCACCTCTTTTCTGCAGTT